ATTATTATTATTATTATTATTATTACGTGATTAAAGTTACCCATGCTTCCCTCCGCCTTTCATCCCCGAGGATTATCCGATTTCTTCCATACCTGGGTTTGGCTGTACCAATGAATAAGCCAAGGGGTAACGCAACAAAATGCAATTTTTGCACAAAGTGTAGAACATGATAGCTATGAGTTGAAGAACTGAGAATAAAGAGCTACGACTGCTGTTTTCTAAGTTATAGGATCAGAAGTTTTTGATATTTGTGGGTCGCGTCTAGTTTTCAGATAAAGAAACTCCACACCTCAAAAGATAATCAACTGTTTCGCTCGACACTAGCCGTTAATGGTTTGATTTTTCCCAAGTGATATTTCCCTAGCTTAAAACTTTATCTCAGTTCAATAAAATGAATGAAGTCTCGTTTAAGTTTCAAAGAAAAATAAGAAACTAGTCTGTTTCAAATAATTGTGCAAAAGAATAAAGAGAAGTGAAACCGCTCACAGTAAAAGTTCTGAGCTACCTGTGAACATTTCGATTGGGTGGTCTGATCGCCCGGGTGAGCGAGTAGTCCTGAGAAAGACTGTTGTCGTTGAGGATTTGTGGCGTTTCGACAACCTATGTCGAAGGTATCCCCACAGTGGATTGAAGAATTGTTACAGGTGGAGTTATTAGTGTCCGGCTTATTCAAACTGAGTGGTTAGTTTTACCGTGATGTTGCTTCTACCGTTCTAGGAATGGCATGGAAAAAACCGGCTTGAATTTGCTACAAGAAACTAAGGAAACCACGGACACGAATAAATGATACCACATCGAATTAACATTATGTCAGGTTAGGAGTTCCACAGGGATCCGTACTTGTTCCACCGCTGTTCAACCCTTGTATGAATGATCTTTTCTCGTTTTTCAAAAGACTCATCATGTCTACTTCTGCGGATGACAGCCAGCTGTACTTAACAAGAAACAAATGACAACCTTATGCACTAAAATGTGTTACAAGGAGAAACGAGAGTATATTTTTATCGGGAAAGCCAAAATTTGTTATAGTGTTACACCGTTTAAGGAAATAAAAATAAATCAACTTGCAACATTTCAGCCTAACCGCTTAGCGCGGCATGGCTTGCTCTACCAAAAATGCGTTTCACGTGAAGATAGTTTTCCTGCATGGTCTCCTGAAATTTGTCGAGACAAAGCGTTCAAATACCATCAAAGCCTGATTTTTCTAAGGCTTATTTTCTGTAATGCTTACATTCTTGCTTGCCTCTGAGGACCATGGCTTAATTTGAAACTCCAGAGCAAACAGTCAGAGAAGTGAGCCGAAGTGGCTTTTGAAATACCTCATCAGACCCAACGTTTATGCAAAGTTTTAGCCGAATCGGTTGAACGCCACTTTTGGCCTCTGTAACACTTTCTCACAGGGACACTCAAGCTATATAGTTAGCAATTCTTTGTTGATGGCGCTCTTTCTGTGGGTCGATTCCATCGCAACAATTTGCGACACTAATTCCATAAGGTGATTGACATGAGGGACAGTACTCTGACACTCTGATTGGTGCATAAATTCCCCAAAGTTGTGATTTATAAGATGCGAGATACATACGCTAATGTGGCGATCTGATTGGTGCGAGATACATACCCTGACGCGGCGATCTAATTGTTGCATACCCAAATGCGGCGATCTGATTGGTGCGAGCGACACACTACTTGAAACGCTGATATTTAAAATTATTTTTCTTACAAAAGAATAACTCAAAAACCGTCAACAATCGGCGATCACGGTAATATTAGCTCTGTAAAAATATATATTTCCACTATTTTGATTTTTTATTTTAATTTACATGCTCAATTTGTTTTCCCCTGATCTGCGCCTGTTAATAATTGCCATCTGAATTCACATCTATACTTCCAAATTTAAGGACGAATGTCTGAGTTGGCTAAGTGTAAATCGAAAAAATGTGGCACACGGTAGAAAAATTAAAAACCTTCATATTTTTCCAGAGACCTTACTGTGAACTTAGAAAAGTGTGAATTTTTTTTTTTTTTTTAGAGTTGCCTCTTTATTCTAGAAAATTCACGAAACCTGAAACGAGCGTCGATAGCCGTAAAATAGCGGAAATCAGTGCCTCAAGCAGAGTCAAATGAACTTTGCTGATGAAAAGGGAAAAGAGTTCTAAGACAACGTCTTCTAATAGGAATAACAGTGATGGCAAAGCAAGCCCAAAACGGCAGAAATCGACAGAAATCTAAACGGACAAGCAAGGAGTGACTAAGTTTTATTTATATTACTTTTCATAACTAAACAAGAAAGAGCGATCGAAAATTTCGATAAACTTAATGGTTCTTGAAGGGCTGCCTTTTTATATTCTATTTTCTGGCTCAACATCTTAACGCTCTGTGTATTACAAGATAATATAGAG